CCCCTGCGTTGCACCTGAGGGGCTATTTTACATCACTTACGCCTAATTAATAGAGAGGCTTCCCTTGCTATTCCAGGGGGCTTTCTCCCTCTATCCAGCTTTTGCAGTTTGAAAGCTGAGGAGTCACTGCTCCTTATTGGAGAACATGGCTACCAGATTGCTGAGATGACAGCTCATACAGGGCATCGGTGTAAATGCAGGGAGCTAGTTCACCTCCAGAAGGGTTTTTTTGGGGGTGTGGTAAAAGAAATGGTGCATTTTGGCCTTGGTGAAACCAATAGCAAAGCTTCCTCTGACTTTAGCGGGGCCAGGAGTTTTCCTTAGATCCTTGATCCCAAGAGTGCTACAAGGGTGGGGGAGCTACAAGGGAGGAAGCTCAAACAGAGTGCAGTTCCCCATTTCACTATGCTGACCAAACGGACGTGGGATGGGATGTAGTCTAGATACTTGCCAGCAAGGCCTCTCACCCCTGCCTCTTCCCTAGAAATCTCTAGGCCCCTCTGGGCTGCAGTGACTCTCTTACCACTGGGTATCTCCTCACTGCTCCCTGGGGGCTATGCAGGAAATGGGGCTGCTGTGCTTTGTAGCATGTAACGCTTCGGTGGTCAATATCACATCATACCCCCATCAGGCCGGCCAGTTGCTTCCCACCTGTGAGCCTAAAGAAAGCAAGCTAACAAAGGCTGTGTGCTTGTGAGAAGGAGAGCGATGCGGATGGAGAAACATCATCTGAGAGCTGTGGGCCGTGGAGGGTAGGCGAGGCTGTGTTTGGAAGGGGAAGGTGTGCATCCAGCAAATGAGAGAGAAGCTGAAGAGGGGCAGTGGGAGCTTTGCCCCCTCTCATGTGCTGCCCATCTGGTATCCATAGCTGCATGTGGCTCCAGAAGGCTTTTTTGAGTCCAGTGGGTCATGGAGCTGACAGCTCTTAGTCTGTCATTAGCAGCAGGTAGGAAGGACCGTGAAGTGCGGAGGTGGGGGACATTTGGCCCGCCAGCTCGTGCTAAATGTTAATGTGATAGTCTTCAGAAATGAAAAATAATAATGGTCAGCCGAATAATTTAATGAGGAAAATAAAGCTCAGCTAGTGAGGCAGCCACAGGCTCATAAATCATTTGCTCAAGTTCTCCATGCCACATGTGTGTTCCCATATGTTTGTGTTCTTTTGTGGTAAAGGCATGCATGCCTGTGCATGTGCATCTACTTAGCACTTGGAATTTAAGGCAGAATCCTGACTCTGTTGGATTCTGGGCCCAGCTGATCATGTGCAAATATGGCTTTCTTAGTCAGGTGTGTTCTCTGATCACTGTGCAACTTGAGATGATGACTGGAAGCCAGAAGAATTTGTGCTTCCAGAGTTTGCTATGCAAGCCAGAAGCATGTTCTCCCCACTGTCCTGTTAGTCTCTTTCTCTCTCAAATGGAAGGGGTAAAGCTTGACCATCCTCTCTGTGCATTGAGTTCCTGTAGGAGACAGAGCTCTTTGTCTGAGACACGTATACAAAGTGTAGGATCCCACAGGGGCACTTCTCAAGGCCTTGTGACCTATGTTGTTGAGCCAAACCAACAGTGGACTCTCTTTACATTTGTAGGCTCACACCTCCGCTTGAGAGGCCTTGGATATTTTGTTTGTCTTTGATGGCGACATGGGATTTAGAAGGATTAAGGTGGTGGTGTCTGTTCGTGGAAGCCTGTGGGTGTTCAGCTCTCTGCAAGGAGGACCATGCCTACCTTTGCATCAGTTGGGAGACCTCCCATTTCAGGAAGCAGTAGGCAGAGAATCCTGCTGCTCTTCTTCAAGACTCAGTGCCTGGACTGATTTCTTGTCTTGTTTTCTCATCTTTACCCGCATCTCCCAGAGCAGATGAATACCAGCCCAGAGACCAGACCTCAGTTTGGTGGGTCTTTCAAAGCCACTGGAGCTGGCAAGGTCTCTGGAAATAGACAGCCCTTGACTGAGGGCTTGGTCTGACATTGGCAGAGGGTGAGTCTTCCTGTGCCCTGCCAAGGTGCTGTGTCAAGTAGGCAAGAGAGAAGCTGTGGCCACGTCTGTGGGGTGCAGAGCAGCCCACATGCTTGATTGTACCCTGGGCAGCCCAGCTTCCTCTTGTCACCACAGCCAGACGCTGGTTCCAGGCTTGCACCGTGTTAACCCGTGTCACTGTGCTGGCATCGGCACTGGTGCCTCTACCGCCCGTGCTGTCTTGCAGGCATTGAACCATGGCCCTGCTGTGAGCATGTCGCCCTTCTGTGGGTGTGTGACCCTGGCGGGTGCACTCCCCCATGGCGGGCAGGTTCAGGAGGGCAGCCATGGCTCGGCCTCCCCGGACAGGTCCTGCAGCGCACCCTCGGCTGCGTAGCAGTCCCTGGGATGGGGGGAAGGAAAGGGGTGGACAGATGGGTAGAGGGGGCCCCCTCCCCAGAGATAGTATCAAAACGTCTCTTTTGTGCAAAGCGGAGGGAATGCCCCCAAGAGCTGGTTTCCATGGCAACCACAAATGTCAGGTTCCATGTGGTGAATAACCGTTACCATGACAACACCTCCTTTACCCTAGGTGCCGGGAGCTAGAGTGACAGCCCTGTTGGGGGAGGGGACAGGGAGATGTCCTCAGGTATTTAACCCCCTCCCTCTCCTCCCCCCATCCTTTCCGGCTCCTTGCCCCAAGCCCTCAGCCCCAGCATCCCTGTGTGGGTCCATGCTCACGTGGCGTGATGCTCTCGGCTTCCACGGCATCCCTGCCTCCCTCCCTTCCCCCATATGGATGTGCTCCTCGGAGGAGCTGAGATCCGAGTCTGTCCCTCCATTTCCCTCCCCATCTGCTTAGCTTAATCCCGGTTTTGTGTCCTGGGTAGAAACAAAGCTATTTCTCAGTGCCGTGGGAGCAGTGGGGAGCGAGGTGGCCAGCTGCCCCTCTTGGCTCCACACCGAGCCCTCTCTTCTGAGCACACATCTGGGCTGTCTGCCCTCTCCCACTCAGCCTGGTGCTGAAAAACCCCCAGCCTCGGCTTGCCCAGGCATATTGCTGTGAGGAGCAATAGGAGCCACTGCCTCTCAGCAAGGAAATCTGAGGCTTTCTGGAGCCATGTCTGACTGCATCCTTCTGAACCACTGCCCTGTGCTGCACTTGGCTCATGGGCTGAAAAAGATGCCTGGTCCTTGGCAGCTCCTGGCAGGAGCAGCAGCCCAGAAGCTGGCGAGTGCTGGTGCTGCTCATGCTGGGGCCACATGGCAACACAGTAGGATGTTAGGAGCTCTGCAGATCCATGCAGCTGATCAAGAGTGGGAAAGGGACCCTCAGCCTTTCTCTCTCCCCCAAATGACCCAACAAGTCTTGGGAGATGGAGTTGGAGTTGGCACTACTGCCTACGGAGGTGCAGCATGGCAGCAGCTTGGCCTTCCTTTGGGGACCTGTCAGCCAGTCTCTGGCTCTGCCCAGCAGCCCCATATTGCTCCTTGAGGCAGGGATGGTACAGCTTGGGGCTGGTTCCAGCTTCTGCTCATTCTGCCTGAGATCCAACAGTCATTGGAAGCCAGCTCACAGCCCCCAGCTGCCACAAGCGCTCTCCTGTGCCCAGCGGTCAGGCTTCAGCAGTGGTGTGCCCTGCCACAGCAGCCTGTCACTCCTAGTTGGCGTCTCTGTCCTGTGAACTGCAAAGTTACCTCATGAGTTTCTTCTAGCTCTTGTGAATGTGGGCTGTACCTCTGGTGTCTGGCCAGTCTGGCTCAGTTGCCACTTGGAGACTGACAGCAGTCCACGTTTTGCATGCTGTCTTCTAAACACGTTTCAGTTGGTGACTTTTGTGGCTTGATTTTATTTTCTGTTTTGTTGTTGTTGCTGTTTTTCCTGAAGGTGTTTTCTAAAACAGGGAACAGACTATGCCTGGACCTGCAATTTGTGTGTGGGTCTTACCTCTGATATTATGATTGGTTTTTATTGTCACTGATTCAAGTCACTGTCAGCCTCTGTGGATGATGCTGAGAGACATGAAGTGAGATACGCTGTGAATGTGTAAATCTGCCTTGTATACCATTCCTCAGAGGAGGTTTTGTCTCAGTTGGATCCTGCTAACCTGGGAAGGAGGCTACAGCTTATCAGTTGCCTTTCTGGGCAGCATAGGACATGCATACCTTCCAGCAGATGAGAGTTTTGCCCTGCTTTGCAAATCAGACAGTTAAAGCTGTGGGTTACTTAATGCAGCTGCTCCTGGGTAGAAGTGTTCTTACTTAACTGGAGAGTCTGGGTATCGCATGAGCTAAGCTGCCCCTCAGGCTTCTTGCTTGTGGTTGGATTATTGCTGATAACACTAATGGGCATAAGAGAGGTAAACAGCTCTTCTCCACGACCGAGTGAGAGGAGTTTTGTCACTTTCAACCTGAACATTTCCTCTGGTGCACAGGAGATGTTGCTGGAGAGCAGCATTATCCTTTGAAGCCACTCTGGTGCTCAGAGCTCTGACTGCATGAGGGCTGGGGAAGGGGAAACATAACATGCCTGCTTGCTATACTGCTCTCAGCCAGGTTCAGGGGCAGTCTTTCCTCCCTCCTGCAAGTAAAGTAAATGGCTCAATTAGGTGAGGTAACCATGCCTGTACTGAGTCAGGGTGAGCATAGGAAGAGCTTCCAGGCATAGTCTCACCATGGGCCACCCTGACTGCTGTCCAGGCTCCAGTCTCATGGTGATGAGCTGCTTCCTTGGAGTCCTTTCTTTGCCACTTGCTGTGGCTGGGGACATGGGAGTTTTATGCATAGTGGGCATTTTCAGGAGAGCTGTTCCCTGCAGACAAGCAGCTGAGCAGGGAAAAGCACCAGGTTTCCTTTTGAGAAGTCTGAAATCCATGGGGTCCCTTCTCCGAGAGTTGCCATCACGATGTCTCGGTTACCTTCTGCCACTCTCCTGCTCTGCACAGGAGGCAGAAAGGGGCACCCTGGTGCCACTGCCATCGTCACCGTGTGCCAGGCAGATGGGCCAAGCTCTAATCCACTGCATTTCTCTTTCATTGCAGATGGCGCGCCCGATTCAAGTGAAACCCGCAGACAGCGAGAGCCGTGGAGGTAGTTGTCATCTCTCCTTGTTTATCCTTTGTCGGCTTTGTGCTTGTCAGGGGGACCAAGCAAAGAGACGGGGTCCTGACCTGGCCTTCCTGTCATTGCAGTCTGTATGAAGGGGTGTTTGTGTGTGGCAGGGAGGGGCAAGAGGAGAGTCTAGGGATAGGGTTTTGTGGAGTGCCTTCAGCTTGGGACAGCAGGCAGCTGAGAGCACCCTAAGGGTAATAATGTGGCTGTCCGCTCCATGCTTCTTCCCAGCCCTTTGAGGGTACTATTAGCCTGACAGTGTGCCCCAGCAGGTTACTGAAGCAGGCATGCGCTTTGGTGTATGGCACCAGGGGGCCTGGAAGGTGTAAGCAGTTGGGAAGACGTTTCTTCAGTCTTATACCTGATCAGCCCAATAAAAACCAGATTCCTGCAGCAGCACTGGCTTTTCAACCTGTTCAGCTTACCGCTCTGCAGGTGATTCTCCTGTCTGCAGCCTGCTCCTCTGCTTCCCCCACTGCGTTGGACCATCTCAGCCTCTCCACTCTCAGTCCTGCAGCAGTCCCTGTCACACTGTCAGCGCCCAAGTGCTGTTGCAGAAAGTAGCACGTGGTGGGGAAGTACTGTCTGAAGGGAAAGGATCCTGAGTTTAGGCCTGAGATGGAGGTGCTGTCAGCCTGCAGGGGACTGGCTTGTTTAGAGCAGCATATACTGAGTTCAGAGCTGGGAGGCTGGGAACAGGAGAATCTCAGTTAATTTAATGGAGAGCTTAGGGCAGCTCACATGCCTCCTCCAGGTGGAGAAGGTTTGCAACTCCAGCCCTTTCCAAATTGATGAACTTGTTCTGCTGCTTTTCCTTGTCTATCAATACATTTCTTTTCCTCTTCTCTCCATTCCTGCATCTACCTCTCCGTGTCTTGTGCTGTTGGTGCTGTCTCTGAAAGCAGCTGTTGGTGCTGCCTCTGAAAGTGGGGAGGGGAGAATTTGTGTGAGACTATTTGTCCTGTAGGGCAGCATATCCTGCATTACTGTGTTGAGATTTGGAAGGCTTTTGTTTTAAATTTTAAGGGGTCACTTCCAAGAAGTTTGTAGTGAATTTTAATTATTGCACTGGCAGGAACATGAGCTATTTTGTAGTATTTTTATAATATGAATGTGTGTATTTATGGTTGTGTGATCCTCCTTTAAAAAAAAAAAAAAAATTAAGTCAGATGATTTTTCCAAAGAGAGTCTGTGACTTTTCGTTATTTACTTGAGGGATGAGACACCTGACTTTTACTGAAGTCTGGGCATTTTTATTCTCTTGGGCTATACTGAGAATCCCAGACATGCCACCTATAGACATGCTCCTTTTGAAAAGAACTGTGGCTCAAGCCTCCAAAGAAACTAGCATGCTTAAAACACATAGGACTGCATTCATATCACCTTACTTCAGGCCCTGGGTTCAGGTTGAGTTTAAGGTCCTTGTCCATGCTACGCGTAATTGTATCTAACATTATTCCTAATGAGTCTTTAAGAAAAAAAAAAAGTGTAGGAGACTAGGAGGGCCTTTGCCAGTCATGCCAGTAACTCATCATCACAAACCCGTTACATATATACACTGGCATATCCTGTGCACTCTCAGGCTCTAAGACATGGCTGCGTAGCAACCCACACAGCCAACAGAGACACAGGCAGATGTACCTACAGAGGGATGCCCCATGAGTGCAGTGCTTTGCAAATACATACATGTACCACTTGACACACACATTCATAGGCAGATGCTCACATTCACCTTCAGGAGTACCACCCACGCACAGCTGACGCCTGTGCATTAAGCCCTCGCACAACAGCAGTAAAAACAGAGCAAACAGACAATTCGGGCTGTGAACAGACAAACCGCTGCAGCTTTGTTTTCTTAACAGTTTGTGTCTCTTTGATGAGCGTATCTCTAGAATCTCTGGTACCTGATACTAGGCTGAGCTTATTTCTGCATTCTTTTTTTTTTGCTGGTGGGATGCTACCTAGGGACTCTCCTCTATACACAGCCACCTAGTATTGCAAAATGTGTTGGTGCTTAACATCTCTGATGCCTCAGGTCCTCTGTCAAATTGAACTGAAATAGGCCAACAGGTTCAAAACCAGGATGTTGATTTGGAGGCAAGCTTTTGGTCAAGTCATTGGACTCTGGAATCTCTAAACTTATGAAAAGTGCCACAATATCTAATGACTGCAAATGTCAGGGCATCAGCTCTGCTTGCCATGGAGAAGGTCATAGAGAAAAGCAGCCTTTGGAGTCTGAACACCTCCCTCCCTCCAGCCCATGTGCCTAGCTTCAATCCTAGCTCCCACAGGATCCATGACAAACCGGAATTTTTCCTGAGGCAGAAGCAGCAATAAGACAGCACCTGATATTTGTCTGAATCAGGTTGCTCTTTCCAAAGGTTTCTGTTGTGATGCTCCAGTTGTCAGACATGTGGATGAGCAAGTTTGCAGATGTGGGAAGAGGCTCTGCTCTGCAGTATCTTTGAAGGGAACCTTTTTTATCTGCTCCAGGGACTGACATCTCTCAAATTAAGCACCCTGAATTAAGTACATGAAGTTAGAGCATCAGAATTTCTTTCCTGGTCTAAGAGATGCTGATTTTTGTGACAAATGGGCAGTTTTGGCCCAGCCCTGCAGGGGCTGTGTGGGGATATCTGGATGCTAAGTGTAACTGCACCCTGCAGAAGGAATTCACTAGTAAAAAGATGCTGCTTGCATTAGTTCAGAGCGGGACCTGTGTTTCTGGTGCAGGCTTTGTCAGCTCTTTCCTCCTTTCCCTCACGCCTCTGTGAGCCTGGGAGTGCCAGGAGGAGATGGAGTGAGTGGGCAGAGGAGCTTGTCTGTGCTTCTTGCGAGACCTAGAGCACTCTGCTGCACTGATGTGATATGACAGCTAGCCCAAGCCCATTAGCACTGCCTTAGAGACAAGGAAGCTCTCTGCATACCCAAGGAGATTTGCTGCATCCCATCCACAGCCAACAGCTTGAGCGGGCTTCCTCCCTCTCCCTCATCCTTGCTGCTGACAGCTGCTGGCCAGATGACCTAAATCCACTGGATTTAAAGAGGAGCAGTGTCCAGTGCTTGTGTGCTCTCCTCTCTCTCTCATGGCCGAAGCATTCAGCCTTAACCCCTCACTTGTTCCTGTGGTGTCTTCATCAGCAACCTGCTCTGCACTGGCCCTCCTCCTGCTGCCTGGATGATTGACTGTGCCCACAGCATGTTTCCATGGGAACTCAACAGTCATAGATCAGAGACAATTTTCCTGGTTGCTGGACGGCATGGGAAATTGCCAATCAGTGGGTGAAAAACAAGAGCTGGAGAGAAAGTGAAGGAAAACTGGCAGGAGGAGGTTGTGCTGTTGCAAGTTGGGGAGGGATCTTCCAATGCTGCAGGAGTCCCTGCTGGGGAGCTGAAGGAGCCAGTGACTCACAGTAGTGGCTTGAGGATGCCAGCTGGTTTGGGATTGACTGCTTTAAGAGTGGTGACAGCAGACATCGGGTGAAAGGGCTTGCAGGGTTTTGGCCCAGTTGTGGCTAGATGAGGCAGCTTGGTTATTGGTAGGGGAACGCCCCTGTGTGGAAGGTAGCCAAAGCAAGAGGGCACTGGATCATGGGTTGGGCTTCAGCACATGGAGAGGGAGAGAGGTCAGCAGCAGAGGAGCCCGTGCATGGGTCCCGAGTTGCTGCAAAGAGGCATCCTAGGGGAACAAGCCTGTATCCTTTTCCTACATGCAGTCTTGGGAACGGGGCCATATGAAATGAAAGTAACTGAAAAAATCTTTCTCCTGTGTTGTCACTGACTTCACTCCCTCCCAATGTTGCCATTCAGGATATTCAGAAGAGATTCAAAAGCAATAGGTGTGTTTCTTTATATTTGCCTTTACAGCTTGAGTCCCTAAGGTATCACAGCTTTAACCTGTTCTGCATAGCCAGGAAGAGTGGCATTTTTCTTTTCCAAATTTTTTTTAAAAAAAGCTAACATTCCCAGATAAGCACAGGACTTCCAAAATGTTCCGTTAGTGAGCCCCATCAGATAACAGAAGACCTACAGTAAGACTGCAAGAATGGAGGCTAGCATCCAGTTTCAATAGACCTTTCCCAAAGTGCAGGATAAAGAAAAATGCTTTTGATCTGACAGAAGTGGTATGAGGATGAAACCATAAGAATTATCCAGGAAATTTCAAGGCCCTCTGAAGGAGAAAACAACTAGTAACTCATAGTTTAATGTTGATTTGACTGCAAATTGACAAGTTTCCTTTTTGTTCAGTGCCTCTATTGCAAAGTTGTGGCCTCTTGCATCCATTAGACTATTGCTTGGCAGAGACTTAAGCTTTGGATGGCTGTGTTAACCATCAGGTCTTTGCACTGAATTAGTGGTCAGCCAAAACTGGAACCACTTACCCAGCTCTCTACTGGTTACCCACTATTCTTCTGCAAAAACCTCACTTTACACAAAATCAGATCCAGAAGCAAAAGGCCCATGTTACAAACGTAACATTATGTCCCTGTAGCTGTATGTTTCCCTCACCTAGAGTTCCAGCTTTTTAAATATCTAGTATAACTGACTTTCCCAGTTGTCTTGACACCCCCTCTTCCACCCTGACCCAAACAGCTATACAGCCTGCTGGGGTCCCTAAAGAGCAGGGCAAGACCATCAGGTGCATTTCTTGCTGTTAAGTCTTAGTCCACAATTATTTGCTTGTTAGTTCAAAGAACAGAGGATTATTTTACAGCATCTGAAGTCAATACAAGTATTTCCCAGTGTGTTTCTCCCCTTTGTTGATGTGTTTTTTGAGGAAACTTTTCCTGCTGTGTTTGCAGTCCAAAGGCCACAGCATGGTGCACTTACCAGAAATAAAGCCTGGCTGCAGCTGCAACATAGATTCAGGGTAGAGGAACGGGGAACACTGCAGAGCTCAGTAGCCAAACTGGGGTGACATGTGGTACCAGGTGATGTTAATGGGAGCACAGAGCTACTGCTCCTTTAGTTTCCATTCTTCTCTCCACCTCCTAGTAAATATGTTCCTGACCAGTCCCATTTTTTTTTCTACTCCCCTTCCAGTCAGATTTTTCACCTTCTCTGTGTGCTATTTTTTTGCTGGTTTGCCCACCAGCATTTCTGAGCTGGCCCTTGGGTGGCAACAGATGTTGTCTTACTGCTAAGGCGGCAGCTGTACAGCACCTGGTTTATTAGCTCCTGTGCCTTGGCTGGGGATTAGTAGGCATTGCCAGAGCACTAAATTTTGGGTGGACTCAATCAGCTGAAATAGTGTCTCCAAAATGCAAGCATTGTCATGCAGGTGCAGGGAGAAATGTAGAAAGAATCTCAAGGAAAATGGAAGGGGGTGAAATTCCAAGAGGTTTAGTTATCCAGGTGATCATGAAAATGGGGAAGACAGAAAATTTAGCCTTTGAAAAATACAAAGGCCGTATATTTCAGCCACTTCCAGTGATATAAATCAGGAGTATCTGTTTGGGACTGGGTAAGAGCCTTAGATGCAGCTCTTTTAACCCTTTATCTGTGGGGGATCAAAGTGGCATCTGTGTTGCATGTACATCTGGTGTCTAGTGGAGAGCTGTGCCTGCATGAGCTTATGCTTGGGCTCTGTGGAGTGGTGCAGCCCTGTGAAGTGGCTCCCTGTGGTGCCCTGCATGGTGGGAAGAGGGCATCTGTCCGCACGTCCCTCTTGCTCACCGATGAATTTTGTTTCTGAAGGCATCTGCTGGGGCTGGGTCGATGTGCAAGCATGTTCCTTTGCGTGTATGAGCCTATGTGCTTGTCCATTAACATTGTGTGTGTGCATCTGCTTTTCTGCAAGGGACCAATGGCACATGTAGATACTTCCTGCATGTGTTCCCAAGTGTGTCTGTATGTTGCAGAGCAGTGGGGGGAGGCACCTTGCTTACCTGCCTGGGTGGGAACCATCCTCTGAGCCAAGGGGAGCAAGGAAGGGGCGGGGGGGGCTTTGCCGGCAGTGTGAATGTGTAACGTGGCATCCATTCCTGCCATACATACATGCCACCACCCCTGCAGCCTGCTCTGCTGCTGTAGCTCCAAGACCTGTTGTTTTTCAGGTCACTGCACTCTCAAACAGATAGCAGCTTCCTTGCTATCTTCCCTGACGTGCGTCACATTACATTGGTTCTGTTTGAAGCCAGCCCCTGTGATCCTGTCGCTAACAATAAGGAATCCTCTCTCACTGCTACTCCCAAGCCATATCCTGACACATTCGCTCCTATGGGTCATGTCTCCCCATGCATCTTTGGAGCAGTGGCGGAGGGTTAACTCTGTAGTTGGCACAACTATCGCCTTGCAAAAATGGACATTGGGCTGGCATTTAGGCTGGGATTTTAATGTTGTGCTATCCTAATAGCTGTTCACAGCAATCTGTGGAGGATGTTCCCCCAACCACTGCTGTGTTTGTGCTTGACTGTATGGCATCAGGCTGTGTGATGGGCCCCTGTGTGTACTGATGGGTAAAGAGGGGGGAGAAAGCACTGTGCACCTTTCTTCCCACCTCCACACTTGGCCATCCCACCAAAACCATAATCCCCACTTCTCCCTTCTGAAGGAGGAACCCAGAAGGACCCTGAGCTCAAAAGTCCTGGGTGTGTTGGCCAGCCTTGCAGCCCCCTGCCAGTGTGACATGGGTACAAAGTGCCCTTGGAGCCGGGGGACTGGGGTCCATGGAGCTGTTTGTTGGCCCACGCCCAACTGTCTGGCATTTGGCGCTGATCCTATGGTGAGGCAAATTGGGACCCAGGATGCCAGGGTTTATTTCAGGCCTTTGAGGATGGCTCAGTATACATACTGATTAGACTGGGATAGGGAAGGGCAAATTGAAGCTAAGATGCTTGGTTACGTAGCAGCTGTGGAAACAGTGATCTTGGAGAGAAGGAAAACCATTCTATGATTCTGTGAAAAGGAAACAGAAGCCAAGGGTCCTGGAATTTATTCATCCTGCCTGGGTTGATCTGCTGTATTTCTTAAGGTACTGCTTGGGCTTCATACATTGTTCAATAAGGGTATAATTGCCCAGACAGTTTTTCTTGCTGCCATTTGTGTTGGATCATACAAAGGAAAGGGCTAATGAATATAAGGAAATTATTAATCTTTTGTTTTCCTTTGGGGAGGATAGGACATGGAAAGCCACAGAAACCTTTGCATGTGTGAGGAGCTTGGGGGGGACCCTGCATACTCACCCCTGGAAGCATTTCAGCCAACAGCAAATCATTTCCATGACAGGCATGTTTTCAGCACTAGGCTGTTTTATGCTTAAGTGTCCCTAGCCTCCTGCTTTGGACTGTAAGCCTCATAGAAGGTTGATGTTTCTGTGTTTGCCCCTAGGGGACAGGAAGCTCTTTGTGGGCATGTTAAATAAGCAGCAGTCTGAGGATGACGTGCTCCGGCTCTTTGAACCATTTGGGGTCATTGATGAATGTACTGTGCTCCGTGGACCTGATGGTAACAGCAAAGGTGTGAACCCCTCTGTGCGTCATGCCCTTTCTCCCTGCTCTTCAGGTAGCGCTCACCTGTCTCACCACCTGTGCCTCCTTTCCACCGGGGCACTTACTCCCCCACCCCATTTTTATGAGAACCCATATCACAGCCAGGTATAGGGGGCCGTGCAGGAAGAGTTGCCTGCTGCAAGGAAAGATTGGGGAAGATGGACAGAGACCATGGTGAAAGGAGGGGAAGCAGAGCACAATGAGTAGCTGAGTTACCAGGAACACTAGTGAGCCTGTTGGCTCAGTTTGGGTCTGCGATTTGAAGTGTTTGTACCCACAATTAGGAGTACATAGAGAATTTGGGGAAGAGGTAATCAAGGGCAAGGGTGGAGATGGTGACATCATCTATAGAGTAAATCATTGAAGAAACAATTTGAGACCCTTCCTTCTTTTCCAGGATAGAGGACTTGGGATGAGTCATCCTTTTTTTGTTCCCTGCTTTCTTGGGGTGGCTTTCCTTTGCCCTGCCTGAGCTCCAAATGCTGTCTCTTGCGTGATGATGCAAGGGGCACTTTCACAGCAGTCCTGTCACTGCAATCTCCTGTGCTCTTTCTGTCCCTTTCCAGGCTGTGCTTTTGTAAAGTTCTCATCTCACACAGAGGCTCAGGCAGCAATCCACGCACTCCATGGCAGCCAGACAATGCCCGTGAGTATAAGGCCAGGGTACCTACCCTCTTCCTAATCCTCTTCCCATCACTCTGTTGCAGGGACCACCCCTCACTGTCCAAAACCGTGACAGGTTCAACTGCAGTTTCCAGCTCGTGTGGTTGTGGGAGGTGTGGGGGGGAGGGTATGCACATCTGTGCTCTTGTCTTTGGGAACCATCCCGTCTCCTGGGCTGGTATGTGTATCTATGTCTGTCCAGACTGGTAGTGACAGCACTTACAACTATAAAGGCTAACTAAAAGAGAGACAAGAACCAGGCCATGAATTTGTCTTGGAGATAGCTGCCTGGAGTAGTTCAAAACTGAGCAGGGTGCAAGCTAACAATTCAGCAATGTGAGCAGTCAGGACTCCAGTGTCTGAGCACGCTCCCCGCCTTCTCTGATTTAGGCAGTAGAGGAGGCATCTGGGACAGACTGGGCGTAGATGGGAAAACTTTGTGCATTGTGTGGGGTTGTGTGGCCGCAGCTGTGCCTTCTTGTGCAAGGGGAGCTGCAGTTGTGATCTTGTTTCTCACAATCTCTTAACCTGGATTGGTTTGGACAGTGCCTTGTTGCAGCAGGGGTATTTCCAGCTGCCAGGAACTGCTCTGCCTATGCAGCCAAGCTCACGGTGCTGGAAAGACGGTGCTTGTGGCTGAGAGTGTCCTGGGTGTTCCTGGTTGCACCATCACCTGGTGAACGCAGCCAGGGATGTGTGCACCAGCTTGTGCAGCTGTGCAAGGTCCAGGGTGTGAGGGTAAGGGCGGGAGAGGGAAGGGATGGATGGATGGATGGGGAAGGGCACAGCCCAGGTTCCAGGCAGCTCCTGAGCACTTTCACACCAATATTTGCTCTTCTGCTCCTCTTCCCACTCCTCTCTGCTTCCTTTCTGCCCCATCCCACCTTGCCTGACTGCTGACTCTCTGGCTCTCCCACGGCCTCTTCTCCCCCTGCCTCCTCTCTCTGTCTCCTCTCTCTGTGCCTAGGGCGCCTCCTCCAGTCTAGTGGTGAAGTTTGCTGACACAGATAAGGAGAGGACCCTCCGTCGTATGCAGCAAATGGTGGGGCAGCTGGGGATATTCACTCCATCTCTCACCTTGCCGTTCAGCCCATACAGCGCCTATGCGCAGGCTGTGAGTATCACGCGTGTGTGTGGGGAAAGGCTGCCCTCTTGGCTATGGGGCAACACCATACCTGGGCTGGGAGACCACGAATGGGTCTCTAACAATTGCATGAAAGCTTCCTGGCACCTGGGAGTTTTTCCTGGCTTCAATTTCTCCAGTCAGCAGCCTAGTCTTTGTGCATTTCTCTCCTGGAAGGGGTGATAGGAGAGAGCTGGGACCTTCTCAAAGTGAGGCTGTATTTCTCTGACTCGTAGACTGGCGGAGGTGTCTGGGAACAGGTCAAGCATGACCCAGTGTCTTTCTGTCTTGTTTTGAGGACAGCTGAGAGCCATGATTCCTGGGTGCTGTCTGCCAGACATGGCAATTGGCCAACATGTAAACTCTTCCCCTGGGTCTGTGGCACAAATGTGTGTCTCTCTTTGGAGCACCATGAAAGCCCTGGACCCAACTTCATGTGTTTATTTCTCTGCTGAAATTCTCAGGAGGGCCCTAATCCCCCCAGTGCTGTCCTTGGCTCCCAGAGTTTTCTCTCTCGGCTAGTGTGACTGGGGGGTTTGCAGAATGCTGGAGAGGGAGCAGTGGGTAGCACAGGGTCAGAAGTGTTTCAAGGCCAGAGGAGGCCAGACAGGCTGTGCTTTGGGTCTTAGTGAGAGAACCTGATTGCCTTGGAGCAATGGTGGTGGTTGCCACTGATGTTTGAGGTAGGTCCGAAACTCAACACGTCCCTGATCAGCTGTGGTGGAGCATCTTTTGGATCATCTTGGTCACTGTCACTTTCAGGTCTCTGCTACCAAGTATAAAGCCCATGGAAGGAGCCTCAGAAATTGCTCAAGGCATGAGAGATGCCTGTGTCAAAGAAAGAACTCAAAAGTAGATACTGTTACTGAAAGTAATATTCGGGGGGGAGCACAAATAAACCTGTTCTTCTCATATATGTGGACACCTCCTTCACCTCTGCCTTCAGTAGCTCCGTGGTTTGTCTCCCATCTACATGACAGAGAAGGAATTGTTTCTCAATTGTTGGCCGTTTCCTCTGAAAGAATCCCTAGAAACTGCCAAATGCCATTTAAGTGTGTGGCAAGAGCATAGGGTAGCAAAAGAAAAGAGGCAATACATACGAGGCTCAGCACCATTGGGGAATTTTGGGAACCAAAAGTAGAATTTGTCCAACACAGATTATTTAATTCTTCTTGTGTAATGAGACTGAGAATAGCTATACCATTCCAAGCACCAAAGCTTCCAGCAGAAGAATGGTTTGGAGGGGAGAAACCTTTCTGGCAAGACACCAGTACCTCTTGCCAGGACCAGTCTTTTCTATCCAGCCCTGTAATGCACAAGACAGCTGTACTTGAGGTCTAAGTTTGCAGCTTAGCTCAGCTGTGGGTCAGCTATAGGATGATCATTCTGGTGTATCTTGTGCTGTCATGGAGATGGTGCTAACTTGGGCACAGTATGATGGTGAAGGAGGCAGGAATGGACCACACAGGTTATGATGGCAGAAAGTACTTCCTTAGCTTATGGTCCAGGATGTGTAAGAAAGGAGAGCAATGAGACCTTCTAGACTCGATCTTTAAGTGCCCTCCAGTCTTCAGAAACTCCTGCTGATGACAAGAAACCAGTCAGGCCTAGGCTATTCTCCTTGCTTATCTGCATCTTTATCTTCAGTTGTGTCTGTAGATTTGTTGCTTTGTCTCTGATTCTTCCCTGGCCTTCCTGCTCTGTGACTTTATTTTGGCTTTGCCCTTGACTCAAGACTCAGCCTGTCTCCCACTCTTTTGGGGTTTTTTTCTCCTTTTCATTTTGCTTTCCACAGCTTTTGGTTCTCTCCCCTTCTTCTTTCTGAGGCGCTGACCTCACACCTGATTGTTTCTTTTCTTGGATCATCCCAGTCTTTGGTCTCCCCTCTCCTGGGGGGAGAGATCCTAGCCAGTTCTCGTATGCATACAGTGTCCCCATCAGAGGGAGAGGGTATCAACCCTTTGAAAAATGCCATCGAATATCTCTGGAAGTGGAGACAGAAAGGAGGGACTTCCTTGCTCAATCTCCTTACAGCACCTCGAGATGTCCTGCCACGGCCAGCTCTTGGGAGCTGTGACCTATGGTAAGCCAGGGGCTCAAGAGAACTCAAACATAGTTCATACTTGCATGGTGCAGGGCTTGAAGTAGTAGGTGCTGCACCCAAGGTTACTCACAGGCCCAGGAGATGCAGCTAACAATTACATGTGTGGTTGAGTCGACTGAGAGGAGCGAGTGCTGCTGGGGTGAACTCGTGCATCACAGGCATTGGTTCTTACATTCACAATTCAATACACCAACAACTTTCTCTCCCTGTCCCCATGGTATCTGCTGCCTCGCCCAGCCAAAGTAGTCCCCAGCCTAGGAAGAATAAGTCTGGAGCCTGGGTGGCTGAGGTTTTGTTTTGTTTGTGGTTGGTTTTTTTGTTTGTTTTTTGTTTGTTTTTTTTTTTTTTCCCAGTTGGATGTTTTAAATTTATATTAATGGCATTTTCCTTTAAAAACTATCTCAAACATGAAATAATCACAAACTATGTTAGGTCTGAAGTTATTCTGATCTATTAAGATATACAAAAGACATTAAAAATAGTCAAACAGTGCATGTTAGCTGATAACACTTTGTAAGAAAAATTCTCGTGCTTATCTGGGAAGTGTGACTGGCTAAGCATCTGGAAGCAGTTATTCAGTGCTTAAATCGGGTTTTGATCCCAGGTGCTTCTTCTGCAAGTGAAGAGTGAGTATTTCCTTCATTGCAGTTTATTCAACAAGTTGAATTCAGTGATTAGTTCAGATGGAATCAGGGAGCCGACTGGGAGCTGAAAAAATAATCTATTGATACTAAAGAGGCCTTAAGTCTTAAAAAAGCAGCCAGTGAAATTTACTAACTGCTTATGATGCTTGAATATTTCTTGTATTTCATAAATCAGTTAGTTCTAAACACAAAATATAGTTTGTTCACACCCACTGCCCCTTTTCTTTCTGGTCTTATGGTTTGTTATGGTAATTTTATTTAAGTAATGGAAACAATTTCAGAATGCTAGCTTGGAGCATGTGCAGTCAGATGCAGGTCTTGTCCCAGCCAGCGCCTGGCACAGAACAGGCATTAATGAGAAAAAAGAAAATCAATATTCATCTAGTAAATAAGAAATGCATTGGTTCCTGCATCCTTAAGTGAGGACAGTGTGAAGATGGGACTAGGAATGTCTGCAGACTGCTTGCCATAGGGACACTTTCCTTAGGAGAGTTTTATGCTCTCAGGAAGGTCACATAATCCTGGCTGAAGATGAGAGGTTCCCAGAAATGCAACTGAGTGCTGTTTCAGGGGAATCACTCAAAAGACAATGTGGTGGTGAACAGATGAGATAATTTCAGGGCGCTTGCTTTCTGGAGTCAAGCAGTGGTGAACCTCTTTGCTGTCAGTCCTGCCTGCCTGCAGAGACCCTGCTCTGTGGTGTGCCGGGGAGTGTCCCATTTCTGCCCCAAAAAGGGCTCTCCCCTACCCCAGTGCTGTCCTGCAGAGTCAGTTCCACCCCAGCTGCTTTGCTTGTGCCATCTTACAGAGACAGCAATGCCATGAAATTAGGCAATTCCTTTCTTTTTATGCAACAGCAATAATCGGCTTCTGTGCGGAGGAAACTAAGAGAAGGTTTAGCTAGCCATGAACTTTTCAGACTTAACAGATTCTCCAGCTGAGACCTGGGCCAAACTGGCTTACTGATTCAGCCGTTTGTGGATGAGGCAGGTTACTTGAGTGGCATCTGTATTTATGTTGCAAAGCAGACAGTGGGATACCGTTGTAGTTAATGTAAGGAGGATTTGTGTTTTTCTTGGGTTTTTGCCATGTGCCACCCCCCAGCTCCTCCTGTGAAATTGTACAGTTTCCAGAGAGCCGTGCTTGTGCCTCCCTCTGCTCTTCCTGCTTGATGGCGAAGACAAGGCTTACAATGGCGCTAGATAATTTTGCATCCAGAACTGTCTTTGTTGCCACTACGTTCTGAGTGCAGTCTGATTTAATCTTATGCTCCAGAGCACCAACTGATGGCCAGATAGAACCAGAAGGTTTTTTTTCTTCTTCCTCCTAACCCCCCTCCCAACCTCATGTCCCACCCTCCCCACCCCTTCTTTTTGCATTGTGCATCTCTGCCTAGTCAGGTGTGTTACGGGACCACAAGGAGCTGCCATCCCAGAGCCTCAGGGTGGAGGCCACTGCCAGAGGAAAGACCGAGCGCAGTGGATCATGGGGCAGATCTCAGACAGCAAAGCATGCCACGAGAGCTGGGCCTGGACGGACACCTGGTTGTACGGCAGGGTGCACGTACCAGCGTGAGCTCCGCATGTCTCTCAGCAGCATGGTCTCCCATTGAGGGTGGGCAAAAGGAGAGGGATTTGGACCCTGTTCCTCAAGGCAAAGCTGTGTTATTTAACACCTGGCACTGTCCCAGAAGTGGCAGTACTCGAAGAAGGGGCTGTGGCTGGGAGGAAATGTCGCCACTGTGCCTGACAGGGCGGTAGGGCCTGTGGTGAGAGGGGGGCTGCTGGGTGCCAGGAGCACACCCCTTTCCCTGCTCCCTTCCCCACCACAGGAGCTTTCAGGGCAGGAAAGGCCCATCCCCATGTCCCAGCAGGTAGCTGAGTGAGTGGAGACCCCTCAAGGCTTTTGGAATGTGGAAAGGGCAAGGGAGGCTGGAGTGCTGCCCAGCCACGGCCCTGGCTTTGGCCCTGGCTTTGCAGAGGATGCCGGCCTAGGCATCCCCTGGCTGCAGGGCAGGAAGCTGTGCCCAGCTCCCAGGGGCTTCCACGCGTGCCCTG